AAATGAATAAAGAATTGAGTGATGCACAACAGGAGGGAATTTTATTTACACAGATGGATGTGACTGACAGTTTGCAAAAGGTGATGGACACTGTGGAACCTAATGATCAGAGTAATAAGGAACAATCTGCTACAAAGGAAAGTGAACAAGGAAAAGAAAACGAGGAGACACAGGGGAAAGCATCAAAAAGAAGAAGATCTGTAAAGGTAATGCCCAATTTAGAGACTGCAAGAAAAAGAGTACTTAAAGATGATAATATTGAGTGTACGAATAAGTATGAGTTGTTAAAGGATTTGGAGGAGATGGACTGAGTTTATGGGTTTTACGTGTGTTTTTATATGTTTTATGCTTTTAAGAGTTGTTACTTTTAATGCTAGAGGGCTTTTGGACATAAGGAAATTTGAAAAAGTGAAAGAAATGTGTAAAGGAGAAGATGTGATTTTACTACAAGAAACGAATTGGAGGGAAGGGTACATGACTGAAATAAGGAAACGGTGGAGTGGAGGGATTTTATATAATAATGGTGATGGGAGGCTGGGAAGAGGAGTTACGGTTTTAATAAAAGATAACAGTGGTGTATCATGTAAAACAATGTATAATGACAAAGACGGGAAATGTATAGCGTTTGAAATGGAGTATGAGGGGAAAAAAGTAATTATGGTTAATGTTCATGCACCAACAGAAGAGAACGAAAAGAAAGAGTATTTTAATGTGTTACGAGATTTTTTAAAGAAACACACAGAAGTTATTATGATGGGTGATTTTAATACTGTTTTTAGTAAATTAGAAATGGCTGAGGGAATGGTTTTTAAAAATGATAAAGGAAGGAAGGAACTGAAATTATTATTGGAAGAAAGTAACATGATTGATGTATGGAGAGAAAGGAATAAAAAGACTAAAGAATACTCAAGGAGGCAGTTAGTGGGGAATTTTATGTGTCAGACAAGAATTGATTTTATTTTATGCACAAGAAATGTTGAAGTTAATATCGGGAAAATTAAATACGTGGAAACAAGTTTCAGTGACCATAAACCAATTTTTATTCAAATAGACTGGAGCACTGAGAAAAGAGGACCGGGGGTATGGGTTTTAAACACTGAGGTTTTAAAGAACGAAGACTGTGTTTTAAGTATAAAGGAAATTATTGAAAGGGAAAAAGAAAATGAAATGTAAAATGAAGACAAAAGAATGTGGTGGGAGAATGTGAAATATTTAGTTAAAAAGTTTACAATAAAGTATTGTAGGCTAATACAGAAAAGTAAGACAAATAAGGAAAGAGAGCTAAGAGAAAAATTAAATAACGAATTGAAGAATGAGAATGGAAAAGATATACAAAAGATAAAAGAATTAGAGGGAATATTGAAAGAAATGGAAGAGGAGAAATATGAAGGGGCAAGATTAAGAAGCAAAGCAAAACATACAGTGGAGGGGGAGAAGTGCACAAAGTTTTTCTTTGATCTGGAAAAGGGAAGAGGAAAAGCTGGAATGATGAAAGAAATAAATGGAGAAAATGGTGTAGTAGTAGAAACAAATGAGGAAATATTAAAAGAAATAAAATCATATTATGAGAACTTGTTTAGTGCAGAAGGGGTAAAAGAAGAAGAAAAACTGGTGTTACTGAAGCAAATAAAAGCAAGAGTAGGAGAAAAGGACAAAAAGCAGTGTGACGAAGATATAAGAGAAGAAGAGATAAAAACAGCAATAAGTGGATTAAACAAAAGGAAAAGTCCAGGTATAGATGGTTTGGGTAGTGAATTTTATATCGTTTTTAAAGAATTTTTAACCAGCATCTTAAAAGAAGTGTATGAAGAGATTTTTAAGAAAGGAGAGATGAATCAAAGAATGGGAATGGGTTTGATGAAGTTGATTTACAAAAGAAAAGGACATAAAGTAGACCTAAAGAATTACAGACCAATTACAATGCTCAATACTGATTTAAAGATTTTATCAAAAATTTTAGCCAACAGATTAAAAGAAATAATGCCGAGTATAATTAAAACAAACCAGGTATATGGTGTTAAAGGAAGAGATATCGCAGATACAACAATCAGCATAAAAGATATGATAAGGTATATAAATGAAAAGAACAAGAATGGTTTTTTAATTAGTTTGGATTTTGAAAAAGCATTTGACAGAGTAGAACATGATTTTTTATTTGGGGTTTTAAAGAGTTTTGGGTTTGGAGAGAATTTTATTAAATGGATCAGAATTTTATATAAAGGGGCAGTAACGAAAATTAAATGTAATGGGTTTTTAACACATGTTTTTAAAATAACGAGATCGATAAGGCAAGGATGTCCACTATCAGCTCTTTTATATTCTTTAATTTCTGAACCATTAGGTCTGGCTATAAAACATGAAGAGGGAATAAAAGGAATAGGTGTTGAGGGAGAAGAGAATAAAATATTTCAGTACGCGGATGACACAACAGTGATGGTAAAGGATTTGAGGATTTGAAGAAAAGCAATGGAAATTGTACAGATGTTTTGTAAGGGATCAGGAGCTAAAGTAAATGAAGAGAAAACAGTGAAACAGTGATTTGGAGGAGCGACAGATTTAACAGAGCATTTTACTTTTAAGGAAATGAGAGAAATAAAGATTTTAGGTGTTTTAATGGGGAGGGATGAAAAGAAAGCTGAAGAAATAATGTGGGAGGAACTCTTAGGCGGGATTGAAAGAAGACTAAATTTTTGGAAACTGAGAACTTTAACTCTAAAAGGGAAGGTCTTAGTTCTTAATGTTTTAATGGTGTCTAAATTGTGGTATATTTTATATGGGTCATCTATGCCGATGTGGGCAGAAAAAAGGTTGAAAAAATGTTTTTTAGATTTTTTATGGAAAGGGAAGCCGGCAAGAATCGCATACAACACGTTAATAGGAGCAGAGGGGGAAGGGGGTTTGGGTTTAATGGATATTGAGCAAAGGAAGAACAGCCTAAGAGTGAAAATAATAAAAATGTACTTGGATGAAGAAAACAAAGTAGAATGGAAAAAAACAATGGAGTATTTTTTAAGTAAGTGTGGTAATTTTAATTTAGGGGATAATATACTGTGGATGAGGACAAAGAAATGGATGACGGAGGGAGTGCCAGATTTTTATAAAGAATTGATGAGCGCGTGGGGAAAATTTATAACTTGTGTGTATTTTAATCCACAAGGTAGAGAGAACATTTTAAATCAACCTCTTTTTTTAAACAACGGCATTTTAAACCAAGGGAAGGGAATCTTTTATAAGAAATGGTGGGATGTAGGGATAACAAAAGTAAGGGATGTTTTATATGAGTTTAAAGAAGGGTTTTTACCAATACAATACATTGTGGATGTCATGGAAGAGGCAAAGGAAGGTATATAAATGAAAAGAACAAGAATGGTTTTCTAATTAGTTTGGATTTTGAAAAAGCATTTGACAGAGTAGAACATGATTTTTTATTTGGGGTTTTAAAGAGTTTTGGGTTTGGAGAGAATTTTATTAAATGGATCAGAATTTTATATAAAGGGGCAGTAACGAAAATTAAATGTAATGGGTTTTTAACACATGTTTTTAAAATAACGAGATCGATAAGGCAAGGATGTCCACTATCAGCTCTTTTATATTCTTTAATTTCTGAACCATTAGGTCTGGCTATAAAACATGAAGAGGGAATAAAAGGAATAGGTGTTGAGGGAGAAGAGAATAAAATATTTCAGTACGCGGATGACACAACAGTGATGGTAAAGGATTTGAAGAGTGTTAAAAAAGCAATGGAAATTGTGCAGATGTTTTGTAAGGGATCAGGAGCTAGAGTAAATGAAGAGAAAACAGTGTATATGAGATTTGGAGGAGCGACAGATAGACAAAGAAATGGATGATGGAGGGAGTGCCAGATTTTTATAAAGAATTGATGAGCGCGTGGGGAAAATTTTTAACTTGTGTGTATTCTAATCCACAAGGTAGAGAGAAGATTTTAAATCAACCTATTTTTTTAAACAACGGCATTTTAAACCAAGGGAAGGGAATCTTTTATAAGAAATGGTGGGATGTAGGGATAACAAATGTAAGGGATGTTTTATATGAGTTTAAAGAAGGGTTTTTACCATTACAATACATTGTGGATGTCATGGAAGAGGCAAAGGAGGACTTTACCAGACAGGAATTAATAAACAAATATGATTTAATTAAGAAAGCAATACCTGAAGAATGGATTCAACGTATTGAAAATATAGAAGAAACCAAGCAAGGATGTGATATACAGTGGGTACGGAAAGTATTCAGACCCCCTTCAATTTT